GTTGTATGGGCCCCATCCAGAAGTACCCTTGACAGCAGCCCCAGAGCTAACAAAAACGATGCGACCGCCTGAAGCACTTTTGCGTAAATAAGGCAATGCGACCTTTACAGCCGTTACGAGAGAGAAGAAGTTGACATCAAAGTGCTTTTTCCAGTCCGCCAAGGGTGTGTCATCCCCAATACGACACAAGGGATCAAGCGTGCCGGCGCTGAGGACGAGACCGTCGATACCATGATAGCGAGTTGCGCCGAGAATGATGGCGTTAGATAACGCCTTGTCATCAGTACTACGACGGAATAATCGCGGAAGATAAGAGGGATGGAAAACTAGAGTGGGGATAGCGCAGCAACTGACACATCGCATTCCACAATCTGCAGGGAGTCTGAGGATAGTTTGAAGAGCTCGGGAGTACAAGATCGCGAGATCGCGACTACATTGGCGTTAAACTTCTGGAGGAGAAGTTTTGTTACCGCGAGCCCGATACCTCTGTTTGCAAGTAAGAAACGGGTAATATAATGGAGAGAAAAGACGGACTTTGAAGCGCCTGTGACTACGACAACTGGACCTTTCATGATGAGAGGGACGAGTAAGGGACCATGTGCGCGGAGCTTGAAAAGGAAACCCCAATGGCATGACCTGGCGCGAAAATTGGAAAGCTTGTCCGTCAACCATGGTCTCCCGTCTCGCCCTCTCCCGCCTCGCCCCAATCCTCAACTCAGCCCGCCCTTCTTCATCCGCCCTTGCAAGGCCGGCGTTGAGAAGTACGCGCGCTTATGCCACCTCCGACAATGACAACACAGTATGTCGCCAATTTCACCTTCTGCACCCGTCTTCTTAAACCACCTCTTAGATGACCGTCCGTGACGCTCTTAACCTCGCCATGGAGGAGGAGATGACTCGCGACGAGTCAGTTTTCATTCTCGGTGAAGAGGTTGCCCGGTACAATGGTGCTTACAAGGTCAGTTCACACTCACCTCGTCATAGCCCAGCGTCTAACCATCAACAGGTCACCAAAGGATTGATGGACAAATTCGGCGAGAAGCGGGTCGTAGACACACCCATCACTGAGATGGGTTTCGCTGGTATAGCAGTCGGTGCCGCACTCCAAGGCCTTCGTCCAATGTACGCTGTCGCTCATATTTTCGTACATTTTGCCTGACTATTTATTCAGTTGCGAGTTCATGACATTCAACTTCGCCATGCAAGCCATTGATCAAATTGTCAACTCCGCCGGTAAAACTTACTACATGTCTGGTGGCAACGTTCCTTGTCCTGTCGTCTTCCGTGGTCCCAACGGTGCTGCTTCTGGTGTCGGAGCTCAACACTCCCAGGATTATGCAGCCTGGTACGGTTCAGTTCCTGGACTGAAAGTCGTCAGCCCATGGAGTGCTGAGGATTGCAAAGGGCTGCTCAAGGTAGAATAAATGTTCTCCCATTCTAACGATTACTTATATGCGTCTAGTCTGCGATTCGCGACCCTAATCCCGTCGTGTTTTTGGAAAACGAAATGTTGTACGGTGTCTCCTTCCCAATGTCGGCGGAGGCTATGTCAGACAACTTCCTGATCCCCATCGGCAAATGCAAAGTTGAGCGGGAAGGAAGTGATGTCACCATCGTTGCACATAGCAAGATGGTGACCCACAGCATGGAAGCTGCTGAGGCCCTTGCCAAAGAGGGCATCAAGGCTGAAGTTATCAACCTGCGCAGTATCCGGCCTCTTGACATCGACACCATCATCAAGTCTGTTAAGAAGACCAACCGGTGCGTAGTAGTCTGTGTCTATCAGGAATGGTATCTGACTGATCTGCACTATTTTCAGACTTGTTATTGTTGAAGGTGGTTTCCCTGCTTTCGGTGTTGGCAGCGAGATTTGCGCGCAAATTGTTGAGAGCGAAGCATTCGACTATCTTGATGCTCCAGTCGAGCGGGTCACCGGCGCTGACGTTCCTACACCTGTACGTTTCTCTCTTCTCGAGCCTGTCCTTTTCTTACCAGTTTCATAGTATGCCACGAACCTCGAAGCCCTCGCTTTCCCAGATACACCTCTGATCGTCAAGGTCGTAAAACGTGCACTGTACCGCACGAACTGATTTCTTTCTTCACGCTGTGCATCATGCGTTAGGGTTGTTGGCTATCCTCTAGAGTCGTTTATATCTGCTACATCGTATTCACACCGCCCGTAGATACTTAATAAACCGCATATACCATTCTATGCATACATTTCAACGGCCATGGACTTCTTATCCAGATTTCTATGCTTTTGACGAACGCAGACGAATGCGAACGGCGTTGGCGTGCGCTTGCAATCCTTCGCAATCGGCTAATGTGGCTACGACAGGACCCAGACCCTCAAGACCGGCTGCTGTGATTTCCTGAGAAGTGATGTGCTTCTGGAACGAAAGTGTGTTGACACCGCTAAATTGCCTTGCGTAGCCATTCGTGGGGAGGGTATGATTTGTGCCTGAGGCGTAATCACCACAGCTATTCGAGCAGGAGAGTTAGTATATTCTCAGCAAGGATGCGCCGACTACTTGCCTTTCAGGTGTATAAGGTCCAACGAATACGCTCCCGGCGTTATCTATTGCTGCTACCTTTTCACTCGCGTTTTCTAGGTGCAAGATGAGATGTTCAGGTGCGTAATCATTGGAGAAAGCGATGGCTTCTTCAACCGAGGTCGTTTTGACGATGATGCTCTTGGCGATAGATTGACGAACAATGTCCACTCTTGACAGAGCATTAGCCTGGTCGTCGACTTCCTTTTCGATGGCGGCGAGGTGCTCGGCTGTGAGGTTGACGCTTACCAACACCACCTGAGAGTCAATACCGTGTTCCGCTTGGGACAGGAGATCTGCTGCTACGAACGCAGCATTGGCGGTGTGATCAGCAATGACCTGACATTCCCATCAGTTGAGACACTATTACCGATCGCGAAACGAAAGACCTACAAGTACTTCTGAAGGTCCAGCCGGCATGTCAATGGACACCAGAGCATCTGTGTCATTTTGCACCAACATCTTCGCGGCCGTCACCCACTGGTTCCCAGGACCGAATATTTTGTCCACCTTTGGAACCGTTTTGGTTCCATACGCCATCGCAGCCACGGCCTGTGCGCCACCAGCTTTCAGAATTGCAGACGCGCCCACTAGGTGCGCGACGTACATCACCTCTGGCGAGATGCTGCCGTCGGCCCTCGGAGGCGTGGCGAGGACGATTTCCTTGCATCCCGCAACTTGGGCGGGAATGCCCAGCATCAGTGCCGTCGATGGGAGGATGGCGGTACCGCCGGGTACGTATAAACCCACGCGGGCGATGGGGCGCGCAAATCGCGAACACACCACCCCTGGCATCGTTTCCACGACTAGAGTCGATCCATCAGTTTGTGCGTCGTGGAATTTGCGGATATTGGCATAAGCAACGTCGATAGCCTCTCGGACCGTGGTCTCAACTTCCATTGTTTCCGGTGCGAATGGCGGGAAAATGACGGTGGAGGTCAGTTGAACCTTGTCGAACTTGGCGGTGAACTCTAGGAGGGCTTCATCGCCTCGTGTGCGGACTGCGTCGACTATGGGTTTGACTTTAATGATCATCTCGTCCGATTTAAGGACTGGTCGGCGGAGGAGCTGCGCACGCTCTTCAGCTGAAATTGCAGACAGCTCCGAGGTGCGCATTCGAATGGGGCCGTCAATGGGTGTTTCAGGCGCTTTCTTTTCGGGGGGTGGCGCTGTAGCTGGTTCCTTCGAAGTCCATTGTGGTTTCGCGTTTCCAGGTCTTCTTGTAATCCTCTTTGCCTTTCGATCCAAAGACCTTTCAATGTCAGCCACGCTCACTCCAGCTGCCAGACATTTTGTCAGCGCGAAATAGAGTAGGTCAGCAGCCTCAAAAGCGACATCTTCTTTTGAGGTCGCCTGACACAGTTCATCTGCCTCTTCCATGATTTTTGATCGGAGGAGTTCTGAGTCGTTGAACAACCGCTTTGTATATGAACCTTCGGGTGCAGACGCAAGGCGTGACTGCAATGTGCTTTCAAGAGCGGGCAACCCGCTTGTCTCGCTGAAGCAAGATTGCCTGTTGAGATGGCAGAACCCTGCGCCGTGTTGGATGACTCGGAATTCGAGGCTGTCGGAGTCACAGTCGAGACGAATACGAACGACATCTTGCGTGGCACCTGATGTTTCACCCTTGCGCCATAGACCGTGCTTCCTGGATTGGTATGTGCCTTTGCCAGAGATGATGCTCTCTCTGATGGATTGGAAGGACGAGTATACGAGACCAAGAGTATGTCCTGTTTGTGAGGACACCACGGTGGGGAATAAACCATCGGGGCGGTCAGATATTATTGGTGCGAGGAATACATCTGCCACATTTATCTTCGTGGTAGAGGTTGGGTCAAGGGAAAGCTGGGATTCGGGAATGACGAGGGTTGCACCGATGCTGCGGAGTTCTCTAATGTTTGCAGTCGTTGGTAAAGGACCTGAGCCGGATAGAACGTAGATAGCAAAACCCGCAAAGAATTTTGAGACGGAAGAGATGAGGTCAAAGTCAACCGACGGCGTTTTGAGCAAGACTCCCGATACGCCGTTCCGAACTTTGTCAGAAAAGGCACCGACATTGGCAACATCTAGGAGGAGGAGGAGGCGTTCAGATGGAATGACGCCAATGAGCTCCTTTGCCCATGCCAGGGGTACTATGACTTTTTCGACACCAGCATCTAGCCAGTCGGCGACGGCTTGCAGATCAACTTTTGCGCTGTTGTCAAATAGCAGATAGGTATGCTGAGGAAGAGCAGGGATCGGGACAGATGGCTGAGCATTCAAAATAATAGGCCCGATGCGATCCAGAGCACGGAAAAGAGGCGTGTTCTTTTCTGTGAGGAGGGGCAAGAAGGTTGCCATGATCGAAGTCAGTATAAAGTTGTAAGATCGGTCAAGCCAATCGCTGCTGTGTGATAAGATTGCCAGTGAGACACTGATTCTATGTAGACATGTGGAGCAATGTAGCAAGGCGCTGTAGTGTAGCGGTTATCACTCGAGATTCTGATCAGTTCTGAGTTCTCGTAACCCCGGTTCGATTCCGGGCAGTGCCTCTCTTTTGCATTTTTCGCACGTACGCTACAGAGATGGTGATGACGGCATTTATGGCGATGACGTCAGTGGAAAAATGGGATATATTGCTGTGGATGTGGGTTGGATTCGAGCACTCTGATGTCTGGCATGTTCATCCCCAATATCCTGCTCGCTATCCCGCGCAACCCCATCACCGCAGTGGGCCTCCCTCTTGCCCTCGGCTTCCTCAGCGGTACCCCGTCTTCCAAGGTCGAAAACAGTAACTGGTACCATGTAAGACATTTCTACCCGCCCATCGACATCCTTGAACCCTTCCCAACAGGATCTGAATAGACCACCTGGCCTTCCTCCTCGTGAAGTTTTCCCATATGTTTGGACCCTGCTTTACCTCTCCATGGGATATGCCTCCCACGTCGCAGCGACTGCGTTAGACAACTCTCTCCTCGAGGTCAACAGGTATATTCTCTTCTTTCATCCACCGTCTATCCATTCTCACGGCCATTCAGGAGCGATCTGTCAACTGGCCTCGCCCTCTACTACGCGCAGTTGGGGCTCAATTGTCTTTGGAGCCCAATTTTCTTTGGCTCTCATCAAGTATGTGATATTGTATCAATTGTTGATTAACTGGGATTTACATAAGTATGATCTAGCCTGGCATTGCTCTGGTGGACAGCGTTCTCTTGACAGGAACGACTTGGTACATGACCGTGAGAGACGCGCCTTTCAAAAAATGATGAGAATCTCACTTATGATCGCAGAAATTGCTCGACCGCCCAACCAATGCGAAGGCGACATATTACCTGCTGCCGTACTGTGCATGGTTGGCGTATGCTACTTATCTCAACGCTGGTACCTGGTGGTTGAATCGTCACCGTAAAACTACCCGCAAGTAAACGATGGGCGGCTTATAGACTTTGGCAGAATACAATGTCGTTTACCCTACTGTACTAATAACTTAGTAGCCCATCGTTCTCTTGAACCAATATGAGTTTTATGTTTGTAAAAAACACGACAGCGAGAGTTAATGATACAGTGAATTACGTATTACATTCGGACTTCTCACTTTGCACGAGGATTAGAGCATAATTTCGCTGCCTAGAAAACCTTCTCAGAGCATACGACGACAGCAGACGGAACGAAAATCACTGTGAAAACATCGTAAGGGACTCTTATCTGTGCGAGGTCTTGACACGTACAGAAAAATACATGAGAGACTTCTGTCTCTGGTGCAACGGTTTGAAGGCCTGCTGGAACTTTTTAAGCGAAATATTGGCCTGGTTGGCGTCCATGGGAACATTCTCATCACCACCGACCAAGTCCCAACTGCCCAACGGGTCATAATGGTTCTTGGCTCGAGAGCAAACAATGTCTGCGTCTATAAGGCGATGTTAATCATCGTCGAATAGCAGAGAGACGCATGACGTCGTACAATAAACAGGTGCAGGGATCGACACCGAGCGAGTAGAACGCGCATAGACATGGCAGAGTGCGAACGAGAGCGACTGAAGAGCGTCGGCGCTGATAGAAAGATAAGCTTGGAAACACTGAGATAAATTCACCATACTCACGTGAAGTTATTTTCCTGAGGCATCCCACATTCAGCATGCAATAAATGATACAGCCCAACAGTCAAATGATACTCACATCATACAACACCTACAAGTCGCTGGTCAGGTTCAAATTTGATGAGACGAGCAGTGAAAGCATACGGAATAATGGGCAGGGCGACTGGTACCCAGAAGACCACCATGACTTTGCAAATAGAAATCGAACTCGGTAGGATGCGCTACTTCACGATCGACGACCGTGCCAGCGGGACAATTGCCACTCTTGTCAGCGTCCTGGTCGTTCCGCGGGAAGAATCTTTCATAAAGTCAGCGCACGCATGAGCAATGATGAATAAACCTAACAAACCTGACATGGTGTCTCTTGCCCACTACAATGATAGTAATCTTGGGATCAATTTGCAACTCTTGACAGGCCCCTACATGGAATAACTATGTTAGCGAGTACAGCCTTGCGGCAACATAGACACTGTGGTTACTTTTCAACTCTGGCAGTTCTGGCGATGAAACATGAGCCAAGATTCTATCAACATGCAGACTGATATCTCACCTTGTTCGAGGACTTGTTTGAACTGCCCTTCAGAAACGCCATCTGTGGTAGTGGTGATCGGTAAAGATTATTGCTGATGAAAATATGGGAGACAAACCCCGGTAAAATATGATGCGCTTGGGAGCTGTACCCGTCTTTCTCTCCACCTGTTTACGGTAGCTTATATACATGGTCAAGAGGGCCTAGAAAGGTCAAACGATGAATAAAAACACGTATCACTCATTACTCGAGCCTAATTACCTTGCTCATGTCACACAAATCTGCAATCATTTCTTGACGAGACGTCTGCACTCGAGAATCTATATAATACAATCAGCGAGACTCGGGGATGGTGGATTAGAAGTGACTTGCTGGCGACATATTTCGCTGTGTCAGAGTCGAGATTACCAACCAAGGCAGTGAATGAAGGCCGGCCATCGGATCCAGGAGCAGGATGGATTACATCGGCACCTATGTTTCGAAAGATCAGAGCCTTTATATATCAAGCGAAATATGGTACGCAACCCATCACCACGGTCGGCATAAGGGGATCGGTCAGAACTGACACGGAGGACGGGTCAGGAATGGTATTGATCCCTCCAAGCTTGACATTGATCCTTGAATAACAATTATGGTTGATGTGATTTGAACGAGGATTAGGCTCTTACTTCAAACTAACGTTGGCAAAGTATTGTGGTTTCGCTCGAGAGCACTTCATGCTTTTCATGCATTGAGTGGGAACACCCATCTGTCAGAATCGAAAAATCAATGAAAAAAGCCTTCTCCTGCCAACCATGCAAAATCACTTGAATGTCCCCGAAACTTTTGAAGCGTGTTACGTCAGTAGGGGACAACTGGAAATAAGCTCAAACGCACTGCTTGACAGCCGTATAAATGTCGTTGCCACCTTCTGGAAGGATGACAACAACGAGGTTGGGACCCTTTTTGTACTTGGCGTGGCATTCGTTTCCGAGGCCAAAAAGTTGGTCATAAATGTTCCCTTGACCATTAAGGTATTTAACGACGGCATTTGGCTTCATTGCAATTCCTGCATATCGAATTCAGCCAGAGTCAGGTTTCCTTACTGTGCGTGCCTTACCGACTTCTGTACATCCATCGACTAAGCCTTTCATCATCTCATTGACCGCTTGATTATTAAATCTCTGCTGAGACTCAAAGACAGCAACAACCCAATGTTCAATTGCCTTCGCTTGGTAAAAGCGCTTATCCACCCTATAGCACAGTTGTAAGCAACGGAGGAGGTCGAGACATACATAGCACGCACATATTCCAGGATCCGTTATTCGGGACCTGCAAAAATCGCAGTACGAAAAGGAACAGCAAGAAAAGAAATTGTAGACTCACAATCGTGAGTTGCTTACTACCGGTCCCATACCTTAACGTAGGAGGCTTCAATACTCTCGCCTGCACCTTGAGGGGCCCTTCCGTTGTGACGTTCATTCCAAAATGGCGGACGTATTCAGATTCCCCATAAGCCAGGACCTGCCATATCATCAACATTTCGAGGAGCTATATGATGGAAATATGGTTACTTTAAGTCCATTCTTTATGCTTGCAAGACGGTCCTTCGGTCGTTTCGTTGCAAATTCGAGGACATCCTTCGTCTTCTCAGGTGGTATTTGCTTCCGCATGATCTGGCCTGCGGGCACCTGACAAAGTTCTATTGGAATCAAAGCTCCGGAACCGACCTTGAGTTATATAATTAGATTGTGGTTTATCTCGTCATCAGATGAATCAACCTCAACGCATCCAATTTCGGGATATGACAAAGGGCGATTTTGAGTTCTATGGAAGTAGTCTGCAACGGTCATTTCTCCACCTTCCCTGAGAGTGAACTTGAGAGAACTGGCAGCAGTTGTGTTTAATCTCTTGATGACACGAGGAGTTCCAGGCTGTCCCGTTATGACCCTGATGCCAGAGATAAACCTTTGGAGGCGAGAAAGTTCACGGTCACTCGATTTGCCTGCAGCCAGATCTTTGACCTGGGTCTTTCTCATGAATTCCATACATATGTTGAGAAGACTTCCACTTTTGTACATCGTGGCGGTAGAAATATCGATGTTGATGAGCATCTGACCGATAGCAGGTCGAACAGACTGGAAATAACCACGCCAGAGTTCGATGCCGCCTCTGATATCCTTGGTTTCGCTATTGGTGAAGAAAGACCTTACGTTAAAAGGGTGCTTCATGGTCGGTTCCATTCGAATTACCACGTTCAGGGCCTACGAACGGAAAGGCATCGACCGTGCAAGAGTCATGACGCTACCATGACTGGTGGACTTACTGTGATTGCGGTGAGGACACTATTGTCATGCGATTGATCGCCTGCGACGAAACGTTTCAGCACCCTGTTTCATGATTAGCGCCCGTCACCTATGGTATAAAGGTGAAGCTGTACTCAGGATTGATCTCCGCCACTTTGGTCAATCGAACTTTGTAGACCTTAGCAGTACGTCCGGTGGTATCTACACGACCCTCGGACAAACTAACCTCAAACTAGATATGGTCAGGCTATTGCGATGGTACTTATAAGAAGAATTGCACACCTCATGCGAACCTGCATCCCCCCCGAAAGGCAGCTCCCGGATCGCAAACATGTTCTTTCGACCATCGTACACAGCTCGGGGAGTAAAAATATCAGGTGCAGTGTTTGTCTGTAGTTGCTTTATGATATCCATGTTTAGGCGCGCAGGGAGAGTTTTCTCAGATGGAGAGATCACTGTAAAGGTTTTAAACTATTGGACGAGCTCATTGCACCAACAATATACTAACCAACTGCAAATCAAATGAACCAGTAATCAGTAGGAATCTTCACTTCGATGCTTTGCTCCACTGACCATCATAGTGGTGGATAACACCCTCAGGTATTGTTGTTACATAGGAATTCACAAAAATGGGGAGCTCA